CGGAGCGGCTTGCGGAAGCTCTATTTGTGTGTTCGCAGCAAGGTTGGTCCAACTCCTGCGTGACGCGGCCGGGAGGGTCCCGCGCTGCCCTGGTGCGGTGCGTGACCGAATGCGCTCAACAGGTGACGCCGTTGTCGGGGATAACGGTTGCCTACCGTTGTCCCTGGTGGAACGACATCCGGGTATTGGAAGTGAGAAAATAGGCAAGGATGAAAAGTCTTTGTTAGGACTATATGAGTGATCAGTTGATATATCGACTATTGATTGGAAGTGTCGTAGAGTTGAGAGATCCTTAAAAATCGGGTCTAGATTTGAGGCACGTTGATGATTCAGGCGAAGTGACCACTTCTGCCTTGTCGACTGGTCTGGGCAGAATGGTTGGTGGCAGACAGTGTAGGATAAAAAGCGTGAAGTGAGGGTTGATTGGGCGGTGTGGTTTTTGATTGATGTGGTCTGATTTGGATTGATATGGTATGAGTGACTCGAGGGTGATAAGTGTTTTGATTCTGCGCTCACCAACTTTGACTAGCATGATGGTATTTGGGATTGGTGACTCTTCTGGTCGGAGGTTGGTAGGCCTGTGCAGTGCTTTGCGTGCTTGGCTTGGCTAAGGTTAAGCGTGGCTATTGCGGGAGTTAGCCCTATGGTGTACCCTCCCTGACTGCCATAAGAGTCGTCTGACTGATTGGGAATACGGTTGCATCAGAGTGGAGTTAAGGATGAGCGAGATAATATTTCCTCTGTGAAGAGTTGAAGGAATAAATCCCCTCCTAGGTGTCAGGTTAGAAATCGTATGTGCGCTTTGAGGAGAAGTAGGTTAGGGAAAGCTGAAGGGTATTACGTGCATGGACTTAGATGTTTGAGTCTGGATTTTAAGCGATTGTTCTGCTACGAGACGTAGTGAGTCTGGGTAATACCTTCTTTACGTAGAGGATATCTAATCCTAGAGGGAGTTGAAGTAGCAATGGAAGAGCTAACACTTAGACTATTTTGCTCACCTTTAATAGAGCGGCGGGTAGTAACTGATGTTAGACTTTTACCTGAACCCTTCCGGGCTTGGACCATGCACTTAGGAAGCTAAAGACTTGAGACCATCTGCTTGAGGATGTCACTTTGAGTTATATATTGGACTCGCCTATGGATGCCAGACCTTGTAGGCCTAGTCTATGTCTGATTATGGGAAGTTACATGTTTAAGTAGATATTCTTTTCAGGAATATGTCGTGTGGGTTATTTTATTGGGGTTATATTTTGGATTTTATCAATCTGTAGGAATCTATAATGTCTTCAGTCCAACATTTGGCTCATGGTTGGCCATCTAGCCTATACATTTGGGTCTCTCTTCCAAGAGAGGTAGGGATTGCCAGTCTGATAACGAAAGGCACATGATGGACGTTTGTCTGTGATGGGCAGAACCCAGACAAAGCAAGGGCAACTCAGGATGCCTTATGCACGGGAAGACCCGCGTATGATCGGGCCGATTGAGAAAGAGGGAGGGCTCGAGGTGTCTTTACCCAGGCGGGTCAGAGACGGAGAGTATATTTCATCATGGTGGAGTGTGATGATGGGCACACACATCTTTGTCTGGATTGAGTCTGGGTTCGATGACCAGCAGGAATGCGCAATTGTGAGGGTGACCCTGTACGCCTCTGCCACCTTTTGGGTCGAGCATGGGATAAAATTGGCACTGGGGCATGGAAGCCTGCTTGCTAAGCCTTTGAGGGTAGCCGAGGAAGCTTCAGCAAAGTGGGCGAGGGAAGTGTCCCCTGACGGGGAAGAGCAAGTACTAACCCATGTGGAGGTTAAGTGCGTCGGAAAGTTCGCACTCCCATCGGCTCCACTACAAGTCGTCCTGCCTGGATTCCTCGTAGAGAGGAGCTTTGGTGGGCAGGCAAGGGTAGAGGGGGCAACTGAAGCCGCTATGAGGGTGCAAAACTGGGAGTACGAACTTTATACATATGAACTGATATATGGTCTGTACTTAGACCCGAAATTCTCACCTTCTAGTCAGTGGCTCAGGAACACGGCCAATACAGTGGACGTATACGCCTCGTCTCATGATCCGAATGAGGGAAATTTAAACTAGGAGGAGATTCGGGCAGCAGTGGACCGATAGGGAATGCCTTCTTTTTTTTCTGCTAATTGTGCTTCTTCTGACTTGGCTGTGGTCGTCTCTTTACTTATTGTCGTAATTATGAAGGTAAAGCGTCGGGATAGCTAAGGGTTGCGGCCAGATTGTATGAGTAAAGGGGCATATAGCGTGGCTGGAGTGTTAGTAGTTTACCTTTGTCTACCTGAGCTTACTTGAATCATTTTTCGGTGATCTATTGCCCGCTATCCGTATCAACTTGTTGCCGGCATCATGGCAGACGAAAGCGGCTTCGCCAAAATCCTGCATTGGAGGAACTCGTGCCTCATGAAGGTGTTGTTGCATGAGGTGCTGCAGGAGTCAATGCCCCCAGACCTGCGCGCCCTGCTGTTCCAAGGAAGGAACTTGTCTAGCTTTCTGCGCGACCTTCAAGATTTCCGCCTTATGAAGAAGTGAGACAAGAAGGCGATGTGATACATGTTCCCCTTGTTCGTATGTGAGGGACTAAGCGAGGAGGTATACGCCCTCAAGCAGAAGGCGAAGACGTGGGATGAGCTGGAGAGTTCCCTAAGGCTAAGGTTCCCAGAAGACGGAGTAGAAGGTCAACGTGGGGACTGCTCTGTTGCACCAACTGCGGGCGCGTCATCCCAGGCGGAGTTAAGCGGCCTGCAAAGGCAGGTAGGGGCCTTGGAAGAGAGGTTAGCCCGTCTGAAGGAGGCCAGGAAAGGCAAGCGGAAGATTTCAGAGGATTCCCCAAGTAAGCCGACTGACCAGGGAAGAAGAGGAGAGGAAAAGAATGACCAAGAATCACCCCTCTCGATAGGAACCCCAAAGAGGCGAACCGGGGCTCAAGCGAGCGACGAAGGCGAAAGATTCGTCGAAATAAAGGAGGAACAGGATGTTAATATAGCCCAACCTGTCCGTGCGCCAGATCCAAAGAGGGGGCGCGCTAGCATGGAAGCATCCTCATCGGCAGGTCGGGAAGGGCAAAAGAGTGGATGGTGGCCAGAGCAATGGGTGACGGTGGTATGCGATCATTGGGGAGGGACTGGCCGTATCCCTCGAGGAAGTAAGGAAAAGGGTGTGATAGGAAGAAAAGGGGAGCTTGCCTCCCAAGCCAACAAAGGCTCAGCGAGAGGCGAGGGGTTGGGCCCAGGGAGGTCAGGATACCGGAAAAGGGCAGTGCACGCAACAAGAGGTAGTCACTTCGCTAGGAATGGGAGGCGAAACTGCTCAAAGGGGGCCTTCGGTGGCCGAGCAGATACTATATCGGCGGTGGATGCCGTACGATCAGATGGGTATGGTGCCTGCGATTGGGATAGACTTCTTCAAGGGTTATCATGTCCCCGATTTCCTTGACAAGTTGGAACAGATAGCATCCCGCTACAAGTGGAGCAAGGAGCGAATGCTGGAAGAGGTCATGGGGTTTATCCATATAGGGCTGAGGGATGAAGTTGATAGCTTGGTTAAAAGAGCGAGGTCATCATGGGGGAAATTCTGTGATGACATGAGGCATAAGTACTGGCTAGGTGAGGAGCACCCGACCAATAACGATTCTGAGATGGTACCCAGGCCTCTGGTAGCCCAAGCCCAGCCCGGGAGGCCAGTACAACTACCGTCGCAGCAAGTGCCGCAAGGCGGCAGGGCCAACGCAGAAGGTCAAAGGCGGACGGTTGGAAGAGGCCGTGGACATGGCGGGCGTGGCTACGCGGGCCGTGGAGATGGTGGACGTGGCAGTGGAGGTCGCGGGAATGACAAGCAAGGCGCGGAAGGTCGCCATGGGAGTCAGCGAAACCATAAGTGGGGCTCATAGAAGAAAGGGGCTTGATGATGCCGAATAAGACGATCGTTAGAGTGAGCCGGGTGATCAAGGGTGCGGAAAGAGTAGATGAGGCGACTAGGGCAGAGAAAGTATAGTAGTATGTAATGGGGACTCATCCTAACTCCTGGGTCGGAAGGTCTCTGTCAATCGTCTGCCTTAGATCCTTGGCTTTGTTGATGGTAGAGATCCAGCTGTACATGTATTGATCTGGGAATTGGGATAGCAGGCTAACTGTTGCGTGACCCCAAACCCCGTACTGATTGGTAAAGGCTAGTTGCATATTATCTGGGCCAGGACAGGTATATACTTGGATGTGTATAGTGCATAGGATGGATCCGGGGAGGGGTTTCACAATAATGGTCCGGTAAGGTGACTTAGGTTGTAGATAACTTGCCATGTAGGTGAAACCAGGGAGCATTGCGTGAGTGAAGACTGGTCTGCCTACTCGTCAGTAGGACCAAGGTTTTTTGTATATAGAGACTAAGCTAGATATTTGCATACCTAGGTGTAGCCATGACTACCTTATCCGTCTGTACATAGGCAGAGTGTAGTATTGGACGAATCACTTGTTTTTTTTTTTKTKTKTGATTTAGGTGGTTGCGTCCAAATGTGTGATATGGTGGTGTGTTGGGATAGATTCGCGTGCTTTGAGCTCTGTGTGTGTTTGGGTATATTCCGAGATACTTGTGTGTTCGGGACATGGGTTACTCAGCGGAGTGGGACGTGAGGGCTGGGTACCTATGTTGTTTTTGGGAGAGACCTTTTTATCATGGGGTATATATTGAGTGAGACCCTATGAGGCTTGGTTTTTGTGACGATCACTATCACTCTCACTTGTATGGTTTTATCCTGATGAATGTCGACTTTGTGTGAAAGATGTGTGGATGTGTGACATGTGAAGCTGTCTACTCCTCGGTATACTCGTGCGCCCTGCCCACGGGCAGTTGATAGGGCAGAGTATAAGGGGAGGAAGCGCAGCCTGTTTGTGAAAAGTTGTGAGGATTTTTGAAGATTTATGAGCCCAGGAGGCTCAAAACGCTTACCATGCTGATTGTTGGTTGGTTGAATGTGATGAAGACCCATAAGATGGTCTCTCAGTGATGTTTTGTTCTATGAAGAAACCCCTGGATTTTTGGCAAGGGGGACGTTGTGTGTTGACGGTACATAGGCTAGTGTCGTAGGCTGGGGCTAATTGTGCATAGACCACAACTGCGTATGGCACATAGACTGTTTATCGTAGATCGTTGTGCGACGGCCACATACATGATGGTTCAGAGAGAAAAAAATCTGGCAGAGAGTTAGACCCTTTTGTAAGTTCAGGGGGTCTGGCTCAAAGCCTCGCACATGCTGGAACCCACTCCATCGCCGTCGCGTCGTCGTCGATATCACCTTCACCTGGTCTGGCATACACCAGACCGAAAGAATCAGATGTCTCCCCACAGACATCCTCGTCTCCGGCATCCACCCTTTCCTCGTCCGTAATACTGGTCATCCTTCTTCACCATCTTCCCTGTCGGGCAATGTAATCAACTCCTTCTCTCGCCCTTCGTCTCCTTCTCCCCCCTCCTCCCATTCTCCCTCTTCTTCCCCGCCCTCGACTTGCACCCATTCTTCCCCCCCGTCAGTCTCATGCGACTCGGTTCCTTGCAGCCGCATCAAGGCGGATCCCAAGGAGCGGTCGTCTGTATGAACAGACGTAGCACCTTCCTCCGTCCTTGCCTCCTCCGACTGCAGGCACGTCACGGACGAAGTACGGATACCGGCGGACTTCATCGCAAGGAAGGCGGACGGCGCTGCACCAGCAATCTCTCTCTGTGACTCCGCAGATCGGCCTTGTCCAAGGGCTGGCGACGTCGCCTCCCGCACAGCCAGGGCGGCACCCATCTCCGACGCCTGTGCTCCTGTAGACCTCCAGTGGACCGGTACACTCGCTTGAACGTCGTCCGCCCTGGTAGGGATGCCCGCGGACTTGCCCTTCACGGCGGAGACAGGATCCCCTACACATGAGCCCCGCCCAACTTCACCGGAGGAGCCGAAAGCAGTCCACGAGGGAAGGGCCGCCTGCTCCACAGTCGTCGAAGTGCGGATGCCGGCCGACTTCGCTGCCTCCAGGGGCACTGGGTCCTCCGTCTGCGAAGTTCGGATGCGGGCGAACTTCCCCGACTTGCCGCTCCCTGCTGTTGGGGAGTGTGTGATGTTCACCCCCCCTTCCCCCACGCCGCTGTGCGCGATCCTGCCCTGACCGCCAGGGGCAGGCGATGATGCCGGCGCGCTTCCCCCTGATGTCGTATGGCCACTGCCTCCGCCACCTCCTTCCTCGTGGCCACTGCCTCCGCCCCCTCCAGCCCCGGGGGGGCTCAGAGGTCCTCCTCCCACCCTACCCTGGGTCCCCATCGACGGGGGTACTTTCCAGTTCCCCTTTTTCTTCGAGGGGCTCGTCTCGAGGTCGTAGAAATCGTCAGATAGTTCCAACCACTGCTTGTCATGAAGTTCCCGAAACAAGCGATCAGCAGTGGCAATGATGGCCGGGTCGGCGGGTTGCAGGTTGTTGTTCTCTGACGTCACTTTGTCCACCACTGCACTCCTCGCGATATCCAAGTAGTCGGACTTGACCAGGCGCTCGGATGACTTTCATTCCCTGTTAGTGTCGACTATGGCCATGACCCACTCCCCCTTCCGAATTGCGGGTAGGATCGTCCCCGGGTGCCAAATCATGTCATGACCCCAGTCTGCCTCCGTGGAACGCGCGTGGTCGTGCCCTTCGAAGTGGATGTTCTCATCCTTCCGAGAAGGATGTTGCAGGGGGACTTGACACCCTGGACGCAGAGGAGGAGGCGCAGCAGGCCGATGTGTCAATCTCGCCAACAGCTTACTAGGGGTCCTCCGCACGGGCGTCGCTTGTGCAGGCCGGTTTGTTGAGGGACTCGTCGACAAGGAGGCCGGGGATGGGAGCACCGGAGCAAGGCGGTAGTCGATGTCAATTTCCTCGGTGTCGCTATCCTCCTCAGGTGCACTAGTGTCGAAGACAACACCGGTGAGAGACTCTTCGTCGGCGTCGATCAAGGCACCGTAACTCTCGAGTCTCAGGACCGGCTCAGATTCGACAAAGTACAATAACTCCAGTCGGTCCAGGAAGTTCTTCGTGTTCAGGCGCGTGGCGCCGTGATAGTTGTCTAGCAGCGCCAACATGTGTTCCTTGCGGCGCATGTACTCGATGTCGGTGCCCCTCGCAGGACGCTTCTCCAAGAAGAGGAACTCGTAGATCCTGCTCCTTTTCCAGGCGCTTAGCTTGAACCACATGCCCGTCGAAGGATCCCAAACTCGTCTTGGCTTCTCACTCTTCGTAATTAACTCGCAGCGGTATGCTCCCGAGTTGACTGCGGTTTTCAGGAAATCCAACGTGAATTGCAACCACTCCGAATTCCCCTCCAACGCGATGACGTTGCAACCACCCTTCAAAACCTCCCACACGACTTGTGCGTGCGCTTTCCTGAGGAACATGATGCCGTCCCCCTTTTTACAAAGGAATTCCAGCAGATGGGCGAATTGTGTGGGGTTCCGCTCATGGCCCTTGTACACGACGGGATCACGCCCATGTATCACGACGGGCCATTCACAAGCATCGAACGGCATGTCGGATATCTCAGTGGGAGTCACTTTCTGAAGTGCCCCCACCGCGGCAGCATCACCCGCCGCCAACCAGTCACTTTCTGAAGTGCCCCCACCGCGGCAGCATCACCCGCCGCCAACCTCTCGTCGTAGACAACAGATGTGTTCTCCCGCAAGTCGTCGCCTTTGAAAAGGATGTACATGCGGTCGTCCAAGGAGTACGAGTTATGGCCGACACCGAAACTTTTTTTCTGCTGCGTCCTCCTCACCCACTTCCCGGCCATTGCCTTCACGACTGATAGATGGTGCAGGCTGGTCATGAAGTAGTAGTCGTGCTCACGGGGGACGAACGCGACTACTGTCCAGTGCGAGGGGAACAAGTGCTCCAGGAGGGCATTCAAACTCTCGAAGACTTTAGCTGTCCACTGTTTGATGTCCACCGGTTCGCACAAGTCGAGAATGCACGTGTGGCATTTCGTGATTCCGACCGCCCTCTCCAACTCCACGACCTTCATCTGCGCATCTAGAGGGTCGATGCCGAACGGGGCAATAGTTGTGACGTCCTTCGAGTCGTTCCACAGAATGTGCACCATCCCTTCGGCCAGCGCGAATTCCATGCTTTTCGACCTGCTGCTGGTCAACACGGAGAGGACCTTGTTCTTCCAGTCGATGGGCAACTTCTTGTTTTGGACTAGCTTTTTTGTCGCCTTGATCGACTTGTCGTCCTCGCAACCCAAGTAGGGCGGACAGTCCTTGAACAAGGAGGAGTCGCTGACAAGTTTCCTCCTCCCGTCCCATCGCTGCATCCAGCCCCTGCCCTTCAAACTTAGCCAAAATCGCCTCTCGTTTTTTCAGGAAGGGGTACTTAGTGGTCCAGTCACTGTTTGGGCGGTTCTCATGCTTGAACTGGTTGTAGTTCCACAACCGCACCAATATGCGATCGCACTTCACCAGTTGCACTGCCTCTTGCCTCCCCAGCTTCCCTTGCTTCGCCAACGCGGAGGACCCTGTCTGCACCCAGACCACCTCGCAGTTGAGAACCTTCTTCAACAACCGCCATTTCTCATTGTCGGTAAGGGCCTCGATGCTCTTCCAGCGGTGCGGATCCGGCTTGGTGACCTGGACGAACCAGTCACCTGACTCTTTTTCCTTCTTGCCTTTCTTTTGTGGCCCTTCGACGGGGACATTGTAGACGACCACCTTTCACCCGTCCTTCTCGTTTTCAATGTGGCTCACACCTGGCTTGAGGCCCTGCACCTTCTTCTTCTTCGCGATCCACTTCGCTCCTTCCGGTGCCAGCAGTCTGCCCGTTTCCCATCTCTCGAAAAATTCCATCCCGGTTTCCCATGCGCTTTTCCCTGCCATCGCTAGCGGGAAACAGGATCGAAGGGCAGCGTTCTGTTTCTTGATTCCTTCCTCGGTCTTGTCATCGGCGAGAGTCCACAAGTGATTGTACGGCGTCCTGTGGAGCGCCTCCGCACAAAATCTTCGCCATGCCTCCACCTGCGCCTGTTTCCCGCTGGGGTTACCCATAACAGCTTTCGGGTAACCCAATTCCTTCCAACACCACCGAATGTCTCTCATGGAGAGTTTCGGCTGTCTCGGAGGGGCCTTCAGGTCTTTCTTATTGTCCTCGACGCTGACCAGAAAGTACCCCTCAAAGTCCTCATCCGAGAAGTACACCATTCGTGCAGGCCAGCGCTCGAAGTTGTACCTCACCGCCACATCGGTGCCAAGTAGCGCCCTGGCCGCAGCCGCGTTATGCTGGCCCGCCACAGCGTAGTAGTAGTATTGCCCTGCCAGCTCGTCCTTCCAGTCCTCCGGCTTCAGACGATCCGCCCGCACCCCGGGCGTCGGTTTAACCAGCCCGAGAGGCGCGAGCTTTAGTGTCGGCAGCTCATAAGTCTTCTCGGCCTGAGAGTAGGCCGTCGTCATTGCGTCAATAATGTTCCGTATTTGCACGGGATCCAAGGAACGCGGGTTGTATGCCGCCTCCCACTCGCCAATGTCGATGACTTGCAACGGGTTAATGGCGAACTACCGCTTTGTTCGCACGCCGTTTTTCCATTCTAGGAAGTATGCCGCGTCGATGTCGATGACACCTCTGGGCTGGACAGGGGCCGACCGGGGTGGCTTCTGAGCCGAGGCCGGACGCTTTTGAGTCGACTCGCCGACATGCCCCTCAGCTCCCTTCCTTTTCCCCCCTGACTGCTGTGGGGTCTTTGTCTTCTGCTTCTTTTTAGCTCCCGACGCCTCCCCCTCAAAACCTCCTCTTCTCTTTTGTGTAGACTGCTGTTCCCCTCCCTACCCGCCGGAAACGACGCCAACTGTCCCGTCCTTCGAACCCAAGGCGCGACCATCACCCGGCGTCGACGGCTGCTCGACGACCGTGTCCCCTCTCTCAGCCCCCGAAATTCTCAGCGTCCCCCGATCTCCGAGTCTTTGCGGCGAAACTCGTGTCCCCTCCTCTTCTTCCTCCTCGCTGTCATCGAAGCGATCGCGTTCCTCACCCTACCGGGACTGTACTGAACCACCGGAACCCATTTCCTCACCCTGTCGGGGCTGTACTGAACCACTGGAAACGAACCTGGAGCACATTTGCATAGGAAGCGGCAGTTCCAGGTCGCTCGAAATTTGGCAGGGATCGTCGAGGTCGAATTCGCTCCTCTCGACCTCGTCAAAAAACTCCCTGGCCAAAACAAGACCTCTCTCCGCGACTTCAGTGTAGAAAGGGGTCCTCAAAGCCCCCCCACCAAACCTCTGGAACAGATCCCACGAGAGAATCGCCCCTTTCGCACCTGCCAGAACGTCACCCTTCGAATTGTAAACGACATGCATCAGGTAGCACTGCTTGTCGTGGTTTTTCGATGGCTGCCATCCCTTGACCGAGCCGAGCACTCTTCGTCCTTTTCTATCTTCCACGAAGATGACAGGGCCGCAAGGCGGTTTCATGGGCTTGTCATCTTCGGCGAAGCACCAATCGACGAACCACTTCGTGTGCGCATGATTCGACCACGATTTGATGTTCGTCGACTCCCTCCCCGAGGTCCCCGTAGGCTGCTCCTCGCCTCTTGACGTAGACATTGTGTCTGCACCAGACGTAGCGGAGGATGCATTCGAAAACAAACAACACCGCCAACAATCAGCAAATGGGGAACTTCGGATACCGGTGGACTACAAGCCAGGCAAATAGAAAAGCAGAACACCGCAAAGGGAAAAGCAGGTGCGCTGGCGGCGAGCAAACAGCGTAGAGGGGAATGGTGGTTGTCGACAGTTAGCGCGCAAACGGGCAGCTTTAGAACTCTTTATAGCATATGTTAGAAGTTCGGATTCCGACGAACTTCGTCCATCGGAGGTCAAGATTGTGCACATTTCTCATAAACGGACATGTGGTTACTATAGAAGATCGCTCTACCATCGGAGAATATGTATCATGAGCGATGTCCGGATTCCGGCGAACTTCAGCAAATGTCGATGGGCCATTGTGACAGGGTCCGACCTTGTTCCACCAGAATCCGAGGCAGACGGTGCATGAAGTTCCGACAGAGAAAGACATGTTAGCGTAGTTCGGATGTCGGCGAACTTCCTATCTTATAAGCATCATAATGGTCGACAATTGTGCACGGTGATTCCGGTGGACTTTCGGTTTCCGGATGAGTCTGGCCACACCATTCGACAGCCTGGCCTGTCGCGCTGCTTCGGATTGTCAGAGACCTTTCGGTATGCAGAAGCGCTCGAGGGCGACAACACGAAGTTCGGATCCCGGCGGGCTTGCGGTTTGGCGCTTGGCACGCCACGAGCTGCTTAGGTGATTCTTTTCGTGTTCCTTCCGACATGCGCTGTTCTGACCGCATCGCTGAAATCACACGCTTCCTGCCAATGTGCGCTGTTCGGACGGTTTGTAGGGGTCTTATGGGGGTATTGGCTACATTGCATTTTTCTGGGTCCCAACCAACGGGCCTTGGCATGGTGTCGCCGCATAAATACACAGATATAGCAGCGCCCACAGCAAAAACAAAACAACGTTTTTTTGTCAAGTTCGGATTCGAGCGGACTTCTACGTTCGCCATTTATTTTACCGCCCTTTCCAGAGCCCCGCGCTTTCGCATGTGTTTGGTTGCCGGATACCTTTGGGTGCGCAAAAGTGTCAGCCTTGAGAATTGCCTTATGAGGGTTTAAAGTGGGTTGAGCAACAACTTGTGTGCGGCCGTGACCTCCCTCCCAATCTGCGACGTGCAGCGCAGAAACCGGTTCCTCGCCACTCCTGCCGACGCCAAGTTCGGATCGCGGCGGACTTTTAGTCTCCGGATGAATCAGACCACACTATTCGACGGCCTCGCCTGTCGCGATGGTTTGCATTGTCAGAGACCTTTTGGTATGCAGAAGCGCTCCCGAGCAGAGGCCTTGCGAATTGCCCTTATAGGGGTTTATGTGGGTACTCAAAATTAACCGCCTTGCGAATTGCCCTTATAGGGGTTTATGGGGGTTGTCGTCGGTTGCAGAGGCCGTGTCCGTTCTCTGTCTGCCGTCCACGCTTGTGTGTGCCCGCTTACATGCTCGTGTTCCGGCGTGCTTTTCGGTTCGTGCTAGCACACGTCGATGTTTCCAGTGCGCGAAATGGGTGTTGCCTTCGCGACTTCACGAGCCGGGGTTTGAAGGGGTTGCAAGGGGGTCTTTCGCCCACGGCTGCATTTTTCGTGTCCACGCCGCTGAGAGGTGCGCGTTCCGCGCGCTGTTGTACTGGTAGTTATGAGTGAAACAGCGTCCGACATGCTTGTGTGGCGATGGGGAGAGTCGGTGTTAACAGGGGTTAATTGGGGGTCCTGCTGCGCCGATTCGTAAAGTGCTGCATCAAAGACGGCCCTTTCTTTTGTCCGTGCTGTCGTTGCACAGACACTCGAGGACGGCAGAGGCTCTATTCGATACGCCCGCACACACCGTTCCTTGTGTGCACCCGCTGACCCTCCCCTCCACGATCTGACCTGCGGCCCAGAAAACGGTTCCCCACCACACCTGCAACTGCCAAGTTCGGATCACGACGGGCTTTGAGGTTCCGCCTAAATCTAACCACACTTTTCAACGGCCTGCCGTGCCGAATGTGATCAGATTGTCAGAAACCTTTTGGTGTGCAGGAGTGCTCGCGAGAGTGTTGCGGGCTTGCGAAAAGCGCTTATAGAGGTTTATGGGGGTCGTCACCAGTGACAGACGCCGGTTCCGTTCTCGGTCTGCCGTCGATCTTCGTTGCCCTCCAAGGGGTTTAACCGTCGCGATGCGTGGAGTTTTGTCGCTGACATGCTCCTGTTTCGGTGTGCTTTCCGTTTCGCGCGGTCACACGTCGACGTTTCCAGCGCTCGAATTGGGGGTCGCCGTCTCGACTGCACGCACAGGGGTTTGTAGGGGTTGCAGGGGGGTCTTTCAGCTAAGGCTACAATTTTTTCTTGTCCCCGCCACGGAGATGTTCGTGTTCCACGAGCTGTGCTACTGGTAGCTGTGAGTGAAACACCGGACGACCTTGGTTTGACGATGGGGAGAATCGGTGTTAACAGGGGTCGTTTGTGGGGTCCTTCAGCGCCAGACTGTTAAGTGCTGCATCCACCACTACCCTTTCTTCTGTGCGTGCTCTCGTTCCACGGACACTCGAGAGCGGCGGAGCCTTTATTCGTTACACCCTCGCATACCGTTCCTTGTGCGCACCCTATGACCCTCCCTCCCACTCTCCGACGGGCCGTGGAAAAAAAGGTTCCTCGCCACTCCTGCGACCGCCAAGTTCGGATCCTGGCGGACTTTGAGGTTCCGCCTATATCAAAGCGCACTATTTAACGACCAGGGCTCTCGCATGTGTTCGCATTGTCAGAGACCTTTTCGTATGCAGAAGTGCTCGCGAGAGTACTGTGGGTGCTCAAAATTACACGCCTTGTGAGTTGCCCTTATAGGGGTTTAAGGGGGTTCGTCGTCGGTGGCAGAGGCCGGGTCCGTTCTCGGTCTGCCGTCGATCTTCGTTGCCCTCCAGGGGGTTTAACCGTTGCGATGCGTGGAGACTTGTCGCTGGCACGCTCGTGTTCCGGCGTGCTTTTCGGTTCGCGCTGTCAGACGTCGACGTCGCCAGCGCGCGAATTGGGGGTCACCTTGGCAACTCAGGATTTGTAGGGGTTGCATGGGGGGTCAATCAGCCACGGCTACGTTTTTCTTGTCCACGCCGCGAAGATGTGCGAGTTCCACGAGCTGTTCAAATCGTAGGTGTGACTGAAACACCGGACGAGCTCGCTTTCAAGATGAGGAGAATCGGTGTTAACAGGGGTCAATTGGGCGCCAATTTTTGAAGTACTGCATCCACCACTGCCCTTTCTTCTGTGCGTGATCTCGTCCAGCAGACATTCAAGTGCGGCAGAGCCTTTATTCAATACGCCCGCACATACCGCTCCTTGTATGCACCCGCTGACCCTCCAAATCTTCGACGTGCCACGCAGAAACCGCTTCCTCGCCACTCCTGCGACCGCCAAGTTCGGATCCCGGCGGACTTTGCGATCGCCAACTTCCTAAACCGGTACCTCACCACTACTGCAACCGCCAGCTTCGGCGATCGCCTTGTCAATTACACGGATCGGGGTTTGTCGGGGTGACTCTGATACCGCACGGGCTCGTTTTGTCGATAGGGAGAATCAGTGTTAACAGGGGTCGATTGGGGCCAACAGCGGTGTTAACAGGGGTCGAATGGGGTCGGCGTGACTATGACACCCGTGACTAGCCTTTCTTCTGACTACGGGAGAGCGTGGAAACATTCTTGGCGCCATAAGAAACTGCCAAGTTCGGATCACGGTGAACTTTCGAGTTCCGGGGGATGCTAACCGTCTCTTTCCACAGCCTGGTCCATCGCGTATGTTTTCGTTGTCGGAGAGCTATGGGTGCGCAGTCAAGCTCGCCGTGTGTGTTGCCGTGACTGGGGCATATGGGGGTTGCTGTCGGTGGCAGTCGTTATTGTCGTCCGCGTGCAAAGGCGCTTCA